CAATCCACAACAATCCTAAGTTTAGGGATCACCCTGACTCTGGAGGGAGACTACACACTTAGAGAAGTTTAAAACTCAGTATGCAGTGATGGACAAGCTGAGAAAATATATATGAAAAGGTCCCATCAAATAGTTCATGAAGACAAAGCAGGTGTCAGACATTACCACAAAGGAAAAAGACAACTGTTATGGCCTGAAAAACTCTGGGGTATTTGAGAAACATGACAATGGGACCTGATGCTATTCTCTTGCTTTTTATGAACCTAGATCTCCCTGAAGGCAAGAAGGCAGCACAATGAGAAAAGGTCCACCCTCCATATACCAGGCACAGTGCTACGGCTACTGCGATATCCCTTCATCAGACCAGAGGTGGTAGGTAGTCATTATAACATCCAAACTCCCAAAGTGTTCTGAAGAAAGAAATGGTTTGATCAGCAACTAGTTGTTGTTCTGAGTTAATGCATTAAACAAAAGGAAACAGCTATAAAAGTGCAACCCTAGTCTTCTAGGCACTTAGATTAGACTAGATAGCTATTAAGAACAATCATTAACACAAGAACCACACTAAAAGATACACACTAATCTGTAAAATCATTTCTGCTCTGCAACCTTCCTCAGGCTGCTAAAAGGATCCAGAGCACCTGATATACATGAAAAGGTTTATAAAAGGTAGCTAGTGTTTGCCTGGGTTTATCCACATGTATAATGTTCCCACTGCTGGGAACATTTTGAGGAGTTTCAGGTATATCAGTGAAAGAAATAAAAATTCCTGCTCTTAGCTGATATTCAAGGAGGAGAGAGCTAATAAACAATTTTTAAGATTTTTAAATACACAGAAAAATATTAAGAGCTATGGAAAGAAGGTACAAACTAGTATTGGGGGAATGGACAAGTGATAAACAGAGTGCACACTGTTGGGTGGTCAGGCTAGTCCCCACAGAAGGTAGGAACTGAGGGCAGAAGTATGCCCTAAGGAGAAAGAATCTAGCCAGAGGCACAGGCCTGGCTGGAACAAAATCCTAAAAATGCTCAGGGACATTCCAATGTGGCTGGAAGAAGCAGGAAGAAGTAAGCAGGAAGAACGTTGTAAGATGGGGCCACACAGAAACTCTTTTATTATGAAAGATGTCCAAGATAACATGCCTGTCTTATTAACTGGCTGCTGAGTTGAGGACAGAAAAGAGATGAGAAAGGTTCTGACCTGGGTGACAATATGTTCTAATGAGGTAATAATATGTAAACTCTGATTTCAACAAATTGGACAGTGTGTGTAAAAGTCAGAGCCCATAAAGTTTTTACTGTCCATAAATTTTTTAGGCTCCATAAAGTGTCTCTGATGAGAAGGGTTTGAGCAGAGGCTGACATATTGGCTTAAGACACATAGACATCATGGGGCTAAGTAAGCTTCAGTGCCAGAAGGTATAGGTCAGTCAGATCTCCATATTTACTAGAAAGACAACCTTTGGCTCTTTTCTAGAAAACTCACAGCAAAGAATCAACTTGTTATATATTTACAGCAACAGAAAGATACTTTGGTGCAAACAGATCTAGAAAACTACTGCAGATAATAAGAGAATTCATTAAACTGAGAAATACAAAACTTTATTTTAAAACTATTTGCCTTCCTGTACACAAACAAAAGATTAGAAATGTGGAAGGAAACCTCCCTTTTATATTATCAATGACAAAAAAATAAATAATATATATAATAAATGTACATCTATATAAATAAGAGATTGAACAAATGAAAAGATATATTCTGTCTTGGGAAAGCTTAAAATAATTTTTAATGTCCAATTCTTAGGAGGAAAGGATGTCCTGAAGAAACTCTGCACAGTTTTGTGGACTCCACTCCCTACTTCAGTTATTGAAACTACAACTCTACCCCCTATTCCAGTCATTGAAACTACAACACCCGGGGAGACCTGCAAGGACTCAAGGGCAGGCATTTTGGGGACTTTTTGAGACAGCCATGTTGGCTCTCTCTCCTTGGCCTCTTGCTGGTGGCTGTTAGCTTGGCTCTTGATGAGCTTTCAGTGTGCTATTGGAGTTCCAAGCCAGCGGAACTGGTGAGATGCTCTAGTTAACTTGTATCTCTCTCTCTTTCCTGGGTTGTTCCTTTTCCTTTCCCCTTGTAAATAAACCCATTGTTGACCTTTTTGTATGTGCCTGCAGTACAATTAAAGGACCCACACACAGGCAATCCAGTTCACATTGGGTTGCCATGTAACAAAATCTCTCTAAATTAACCTACAAGTGAATTAATCAACACACAGATAAATTGACTCTGTAAAGAAACATTTGTACAATAGCAACCAGAAAAATTCTGAAAAAGAACAATAATGAAGAAGGACAAAACCTGCCAGATAGTAAAACATAGTGAAAGCCAGCATAAATTAAGGTCTCAATACTGGTTTATGAACAGACAGAGTAAGTACAAGGAGATGGCGGAAACAAGAATAAATAATCAGAATTTTTTCCACTACCTAATAGCTGTGACTATCTAGTGATCAACCTGGAAAAAATAAAGATGTATCTTTAGTACACATTTCACCAAAATGAATACCAGCTGTGTTTAAGATTTAAATTAGAAAATGAAACAAAAAAAATGAAAGAAAACACTAAAAACTTAAAAAAAAAAACTCAGACTAGGAAGGTTTCATTAAGTCTATAGGCATATGACATACTGAGGAAACGTACTTGAGACAAATGAAAAAAGGTTTATTTTCTCAATGTATACAAATCTATAAATATATGAGAGTGCTAAGAATCAAAAGCGAAACAAACAAAAAAAATCACAAAGGGCATCTCCAAAATGCATTTTTGAATACTTTTGAATGCTTGAAACAAAACATGGAAGAAGATATAGTATCCCCATTGTGCCCTCCATTCTGGGAGATGCCCTCAGTAAGATAAGGATAGGCAGTGCCTGCATTTTTATTTAAATCCCTCTCATGCAATTTGAAATTTGTACATACATCACTCTTTTTTTTTAAAAAAAAAAAAAGGCAACTGAAAATTTTATAAAAAGTCCAGTGTACAGAATCTAAAACAGAACCACCGCATCTTAAGTACAGGGAAAATTGGCCTTTCTGACATGCAGACAGTGTTGGAAAGTAGCCTCTATATGGGAATCCTACCATAAAGGAAAGAGTTGCTTCTAAATCACTTCATTTTAAAAATCTTTTATAAAACCCTAATTTATGGTCAAAATTGTTTCTTACTCCAACAAACCATGTAAAGAAATCTCTAGATGCTTCACGTGCTTCAACCTAAGCAGGACAAAACACAGAATCCAACATTTTGTTTGTAAAATAGTAACCAAATTTAAACCAACTGCAATGGTCCTTAGTGGGATTGTTTTGCATCAAGTTTTAATTTGAACTGTATAGTTAGCCAAAGCCTTAGTTTCCTTACCTGTATAATGAGGATAATAATAGCATTTATTGATAGGATTAATGTGAAGATTAAATAACAAAGTATATGCAAAAGCACTTAGAACACAGCCTAACTACAAACTTCTTAGGAGTAGGAGTAAGCTAAATTTAAAATAACATCCCCTCTGATTAGAAAGCTCCAGCCACTTATGGTGCTCGGTAAGAGACCCTCTTCTGAGCTTCAGAGAAGTCAGTCGCATGTCATTCTAACTGCAACACATTGCACGACTGACAACCACAAGCAGGTAAAGTGAGGACTGGTGAGCACACTATTTAGGAACACTTTGGCCTATAACACCCTTCCTAGATCTCCTAGTATCTTCAGTTGGGACACACCAGGATGCTGAGTGATTTGTTGAGCAATCCCCCGATTTAGGAAGGGGTAATGTAAAGAGAAAAATCAAAGCCATTCCACTGGGCTGGCAATCCTCCTTAATGCCACAGCAGCTACATACAGCTACTGCCAGACTAAAAACTGCTTTGGTCTTCTACAGGACAGACATACAATCTGAGTGCCAGTGTTTCCTCCTAACAGTGGTTTCTGGATCTTTCCTCCCTCCCCCAGCCTGGCCAATGTGATGAGCCAATATATGTTCTGGCCCATTTGGACCAGGGCAAGCCCTTCCCAGGAGACAAAGCCCAGGATACTTGCAATCTCCCAAAAGGAAAGAGCTGATAAAGACACTTCCTAGACAAAGAAGACAAAAAAATGAAACAAAGTCTTGGATACTTTTAAATGCCCAGTGGCTGTTAACTAGAAGTTCTTTTATCTGCCAAGAGAGATGAATTTGGAAATCAGTGGCCAGGAGGGTGGCTTAAGTCTCAGTTGAGTTCCTTCATCCCTAAACCTTCACACAAGGAAAGGACTCATTACATTCCTGGACAGCACAAATTACTGAAGTGTTAAAATGATCACATTTTCTAACACAAAAAACATGAGAGGTACGAGTTTACTTACATGGTGTTGGTGATTAAAGCTCAATGGTTATTGATGGCATCAAAGAAATTGGGACTATTTCTTAAGGATTTCAGAGTTTGGGATGAAGTTTCTATCTTTAAAGATTGGATGAATGAAGATACATTAGCTTCCAAAATTTGAACTCAGCACTTTAACAGGCATATAAAACTTTAAATGTCTTATGTCATCAGATATAGCCCTTCAATGAAATCTGGCGGTGGTATGGCAAGTAGAACAATTATTTATGAAAATACTCTAGTAGTATCAATTAAAACACCCCGTAGTGAATCCATTGTATCTACTAGAGAAAACATTTGTGCATATCCAACATGTGATGTTATCTTACAGATAAAACTGAAACCAGTCTTAAGTAAATAATATAAGCATACCACAGAATATTGTAAAAGTACCAAAATTCAGGTAGGTAAATTCCTTGTTGTAAGAAAGAATTTCAAAGCCTACTATTGAGCAAATAAAGCAAGCTACAGAAATATTTGATAGCATTTAAATAAAGGCAGAGAAATAAATGGTTAAGATAGTAAGTTGGGAAGAATAACAAAGAAGAAATATAGCATGTGAAGGAAAATTTCTGTCATAATACTTGCCTAGCTAAGATGGGGCAAGGCCTTTGGTTGTACCTAGATGTCTCTCTGATAAAAGTGACCTAGAAAAGATACCAAAATTTTAAAGAGTGGTAGGCTATGTGAAATCAGATTATATTTAATTTTTATTCTTTTTTTTTTTTTCAGTTCTTCAAATTACCTATCACTAACAATCTGAAACACATATACACTTTTCCCAGTTAATCCAGATGTGCTATCTTCTAGGAGGGTTTCGATGGATATTGCTTAAGAGTGGGGTCTTCAAGATGGGCTACAGTGATAATGGTTACAGCCACATGGCCCCAAGAAAATAAATACAAATTCCCAACCCTGCACATAATTTCAAGGAATGCAGGGACATCAGAAGCCAACTTACAAACTATATGGGCTTTGGATTAAGAACCTCTGATTTACACAACATTTAAATACTTAGTTACAGAAATGGGCCCTCCCTGGTGGTATGCTTTGGTTAGCACTGCAAGGCTAACCAAAGCCACTTAAACACCAGTTCAATTCCCAGACAGGGAGGTGACCCATATGATATGGCAGACCTCTTCTGACCTCCCCACTGCTCCCTTCAGTGTACTTCATCAGTCTGCCTGTTCTGCTCCCCACTCCACCTCTGGTGAGTCCTCTCACCACTCCTGCACCTCTGGCCTACCCCAGTTCTGTATGCATAAATAAATAAATATTTAAAAAATAATAGTAAAATAAAGCTACAGGATGTGGTGTTGCAGAGAATGGTTGCTAGGATTAGCAGAGATGGAGCAGAGAACCAAAAGAATTCCCAACATTGAAGGAACAGATAGAATAAGGAAGACTAGAGATGCGGGTCTCGCATGAGAGAGCAGATGGTAGAGAGTTAAGGAGTTCCATTTCAGGTGAGACCCCAACCTCTTTCCACTTAGCTCTAAACACACTGTCACGGGTCATCTGAAATTTATCCTTTCTCTGGTGCCTTCATTTTGGCCATTTCCTTTTGCACTATGCCTATCACATTGTCAGATTTCTTTTGTCAGGCAGATTGTCACTTAAGAAAGAATATCACATTTGGTGGCTCTTCTATGAACAGCTCCCCTCTCATTCTGGCCCTGAATCTTTGAATTTGTTTCTACAGTATCTAGTCCTGTAAAACTAGTTGGCACAAGAAATCTGGCTAGCTGACTGAAACAAGTTGGAAGATCTCAGGAAGGCCACGTCACCCTAGTCAGACTTTGACGAACTAACAACCTAGCAGAGATGACGCATTAGATGTTAAACATGTAGATGTGTACTATTCCAAAACTGATATGCCATAATAGGTGTATTGTTTTCTCTAAGAATCAACTGAAGTACACTAAAAGTGTTGTGACCTTTGCTTTGGAAATGGGAAGAGCCGTTGTGTATTACCTCAGAAAATTACAGATATATACCAACTGCAGACTCATGGGGTCACCCACAAATAACTGACACTGTCAATGTCAAATATGAATTAACACTATCTCTTCCACAGTTTATGATCAGTTTGAGGCCTTCTGGCTCAGAAAAAGGCATACCAGTGAAACAGTAAGTCTGTCTCTAACCCATGTCTACAAGACTGGTGTGTTTGTACCATCAGTTCTTAAAAGAGCTTGAGGAGTCCCAGAAATTCAGCCATTTTGCTATGGCATCCAGGTCTCTGGGCCTCACGCTTTCCTGACAAGAGCAACAGGAATGAAGTGGGACCTTGAACCCCTGGATGAATCAACCTGGCCTTTGTAGGGGTGGGTTGTTGTTTACTCTATTTATGAGCTCAAAGTACTGTATCCTTTATCTCCTCTGCTCCCCAAACAGAAAAACTTCCATGACTTGGCTAGACATAAATTCCAGCTTGCTCCATCAAGGCCCACAACATAGGCTCTAAGGCATGGCTCCTGCTTCCCCTGTAAGAGGGGAGGCCCTGGGACCTATAAAAGCCCTTGTGAAGCACAAAAATGTACAATTTTAATTGCTGTCATTATCACTAGGTCTATCCTTCTGTGAATGAAGGATACAGTTAAATGAAGAGTTTTACTAACAAAAACAATGACCTTGAGACTAAATTTCCTTCCTCTGAGGTTTGAGGATTTTCACTTAATTATGATTACATTTTCATTACTTGTTAAATTACCCAAACAATAAGTAATGGTAAGGTATTGCTGAGGTTTTTATTTCGCAACTAAAGATTAAAAAATAAAATTACAAACTATATGTCATTATCAATTCCTAAAAGAAAGCACATTTTAACAAACACTAAAGAAGCGAAAGAGAACATAACACAGGCACCATCCTAACTGGGTCCCTTGACAGGACTGGTCAGTAGTCCCTGAAAGGGTGAGTACTGGGTGTCCACTTGCCCTAGCTCCTTACATTCGCTGACATTCCGGCTGGCACCTAGTCTGGCCAGTCCACGGAAGAACCCGCATCAACTCCAATGCGAGCAAGTGGAAAAACACAGAGAGGACATCCGATTCCTGGCGAGCTGGCTCAGAGGCCTCCTGAACCAGCAGCCCAGCCAGCATTCCCTTCCCAGCCCCGGAATCTGGGTTCCCCTTCATCCCAAACTCCCACCAGGCTCAGTAGCCTCCATCCCCGACGCCCCCTTCCCCTCGCCCTGTACCCCCACCTCAGGCGGTATCTCCGGTATCTCCGCTGCCTCCGCCCCCGCATTCCCTTCCACACCCCAGCACAGCTCCCCCGCACCCGTGCCCCACGGGATCCCCTAGACCCAGGCGCCGACTCCCCCTCGGTGCCCGCAACTCGCCCCCTCCACACACCCTTCCATACACCCCGCCCTCCTTGCCCCCAGTTCCCCTTCCCCTCACCTACACCCTCGGCCGCAGCAGCCCAAGGTCGGCAGGAGAGGGCCGCAGGGCTGAGCGGGCCGCTGGTGTCCGGGTTGGGAGTGAGGCCGAGAGGCAGGCCGGCGGCAGCCCGAACCCCCACGCAACTCTCCCACCCCGGCGCGGCACACCAGAGCTCTGTACTCACCCGGGCGACGCCATGAGCACAGCCAGGTCCCGACGCTGTCGCCGCCTCCGCTTCCTCCGCGCCCAGCGACTCTGCGCCGGGGAGGGGCCTCGCCGCCGGCTTCCAGCCCAGGGCCGCTCGGGGCTGCTGGGGGCTCCGGACTGAGGCCCTGAGGGGAGGAAGCGCCTGGAAAGGGCCTGGGGAGGCAAGAGGAGGGAACCCACGGAGACCGGGGAGTGGGTTGGAGAGGAGACCGGGGGCAGTCGGAGGAGGAGTGTTAGCGGGCCAGGAACCGGGTGTGGTTTCAGCCAGGGTCGCCTGTGAGCTGCCTGGGGGTGTTAAGGGCTCATCACAGCACGCTGGTGGTACTGGACAACGTGGGTGGGGGCAGGCGGCCAGCTTGAGCCTATAGCTGTGGCCACCCAACTGCTCAGGTGCGGCCTGCACAAGCCTGAGAGGCACAAAGGTCTCCCCTAACCAAGAAGCACCAGCTAGATGCAGGTAAAGTGGACGCTTAACTGCAAGTTTAATTTTATTTCCGCAAAGGAAAGCCTTTCTTTAGCCAGTAGTAGAAAGGAGTTGTTGTAAATGATCCAAACACCTTTGCCACCTTGCTTTGCTGTGCTGTCTTGCACAGGTGCTGGCCTTTTCCCTATGTAAAATATGTGTAAAATCAAGTTGTAAATCTCTAAGGACTATGAAGCTCTTTTCTTAGTCTTTTCATTATGTTATTAAACAATAAGAAGTCTGGAATTCTGCTCTGGGGTTTTGCAACATCAGTTCCTGTCTGTGCAAAATGTTTTCAGAGTTCAGGTCTTGTAAGTGAAAACGCTTAACATAAAGCTCTGGACAGTATAGGCCATTGATTACATTTCTGTGTTATATGTTAAATAATAATAGTAATATTACTACTACTACTAAGAAGAAGTGACAGCAAATCAGTGAATGATAGCCTAAACCCTGAGTGATAGCCTAAACCCTGGAACCAGAATATCTTGGTTGAAATCTGGGCTCTACCAATTAATGACTCTGGTGCCTCCAATAAGAGAAACTTCCCTGTTCCACAGTTTTCTCATTTAAAACCCAGTTCTCTTCCTTTCTATAAAGATTGTATAAATTGGTATCAATAAAGTAACTAATATCTTGTCCTCTTCCCTTCCTGAGAATTCATCCAAGGTTTTGAGTCACCTGTTTCTTTCAGTAAAATACAAGCTCACAACCATTGCTTTGAATTTCAAAGATAATTAATGCTCTGTAAATATAAATCCAAGAAAACCAAAGTTAGGAAGAATTTGGACAGTGGACAACTGCTAAACTTCTTGACATGAGTAAGGGTGGTCAGATAATTTTTTAAATAAAATTTGTTGGTTTTAAAGTAGATTAAAAAATAGTATAAGGTAAGTGAAATTAAATATTCTTTCTTTTAGTATGCCTTTTGTTGGACATAAATATTGCTGCAAAATTTCATTATTACTTGGGCTGGACACATCCGTGGATTTTTACTATTTTCTATTTATTTATTTGTGCATACAGAACTGGGCTACAGGCCAGAGGTGCAGAAGTAGTGAGCAGATTCACCAGAGACAGAGTGGGGAGCAGAACATGCAGATCTCCGAAGTACACTGCTGAGGGGAGCAGCAGGTAGGTCAGGAGAGGTCTGCAGCGCCATGTGGATCACCTCTGGGGCAGGTGGGGATCAAACTCATGTGGAAGTGGCCTCCAATTCTTAGTGCTGCACTTTAACCTGCTGTGCCACCAGGGAGGGCCCACATCCATGATTATTTGCTTAATCTATTTCTAGGAATTGAATTTATAGGCCAGAGTATACCATTATTTTGTCTTTTCAGATACCTATATACTCTTTATGTATATATGTGTTTGCCTATATAATTAGATAGAAAATGTCCATGTATGTAGACATATCACAAAAATACACATATATCAATAACAACATATACATGCACTTACATGTATATTTATGCACACACATAACACAAGCACTGAACGTTTTTCTCCCAGTTTAGTTACCAACACTGATGAGAGTGCCAGTTTCAAAAACTTTTTCTAGAAATTTCACACCTTTTTTTAATTGCAATTTGACAGGTTAAAAACCAGTATTTCAACAAAAAAGCAGACTAAGAAATATCAAGCTCTTATTTCTCCCTATGTCCCCACAGAAAGATGAAGAAAACCAGAAACTGAACAAACTTTGTTGGGGTTTGAAAAAGTCAAAGGTTTACAACAACCAAGAAAAATATTCAAGGAAAAAAAAAAACCATGTTTAAAATAAGTTTTATGGCACTTTTACTTGCAATTGTCCTGCCCTTTCCCTATTATAGATAGCAGTAGTCTTGATCTTGATCAGGTGGCATCCTGTTTCTGAGGTTTCCACACTCACTACATCACTTTAAAATTAAGGTGCATCCTTGTCTTCAACATGATCTTAGAGGTAAAACTTACAATTTTTACCTGTAAGTATGATTTTAGTCGCGGGTTAAGCAAATATTTCCTTTATTAGGTTGAGGTATGTTCCTTCTATTCCCTTTTTTTTTTTTTTAATGTTTTGATCATAAAGGTGTGGAATCTTCTCAAATACCTTCTCTGCATTTATTGACATGATTTTTGCCTTGTTATGATGTGGTTTATTACACTGATTGATTTTCACATATGAAACCATCCTTGTAACAAATCCCTTATGACCATGCTGTATAATCCTTTTACTTTATTGCCAAATTTAGTTTGCTAAAATTATTTTCACTCTTTTTTTTTTTGTCGATATTCGGTCTGCCTCAGTATCAGAATAATGTTGGGTCACATGTGCTTAGAAACACTACTCTTCCTTAATTTTTGGGAAGAGTTTGAAAAGAATAGGTAATAATTCTCTTTAAAGGTTTGGTAGAACTCTCTAGTGAAACTGGTCTTGTGCTTTTGTTTTATAGGATACTTTTGATTACTGTTTCAATTTCCTTGCTTATAATTGGGCTATTCAACTTTTTTATTTCTTCCTTATTCAGTCTCAGTTACTGAATACTTCTATGGTTTGTCCATTTCTTCTAAATTACCCAATTTGTATAAAGATGTTCATAGAAGTTTCTTGCGATCCTGTTTTATTGTTGTACCTTCTCTCATTTATGATTCTATAATTTAGAAATTTCTCACCTATTTGTGAACTGTCTTTTTTGTTTCTATTTGGTATTGATGCTCTATAGTTATTTTCATCTGATCTTTCACTGGCTTTTTGGTTTTTTAGTTATTTATCTAGATCCTTAAGGTGTAAGATTAGATTGAGCTCTCTCTTATTTCTTAATTGGGGTGTGTGTTGCTGTGTACTTCCCTCTTAGCATTGCTTTGCTACACCCCATAGGTTCTGATAGTTCATGTCTTCATTTTTATGTGTCTTTAAGTATTTATTAATATATTTTTCATTTCCTCATTAAGCCAGTAGTCATTCAGTAATATGCTATTCAGTATATATATCTTGCTTTCTTTTGGTGGTTGATTTCCAGTTTGATTATGATTTTTTTAAAGATTTATTTATTTATGCATACAGAACTGGGGTACAGGCCAGAGGTGCAGGAAGTGAGAAGATTCAGCAGAGACAGAGTCAGGAGCAGAACAGGAGATCCATGAAGTACACTACTGTGTACTTCATGGGCAGTGGGTGGGTCAGGAGAGGTCTGCAGTGCCATGTGGATCATCTCTGGGGCTGGGATCGAACTCGCACTGAAGTGGCTGTGGCTAGCTTGCAGTGCTGTGTCCTAACCATTGCGCCACCAGGGAGGGCCATGATTATGATTGTGATAAGAGATTACTTGATATAATTCAATCTTCATGAATTTATTGTTTTGTGACCCAGTATGTGATCTTTCTTGGAGAATGCTCCATGTGCACGTGAGGAGAATGTAAAATCAGCTTTTGGGGCATACACTGACCTAAAAATGTTTACTAAGCCCATTTCTCCTCCAATATCTTTTTTAAAGCTGTTATTTTCCTTAATGGTTTTCTCCCTGGTGATCTGTCCATTTATGAAAGGGTGGTGTTGAAGTCATCTACTACCATTGTGTTGTTGCCAAAATTCTTGTTTTCATACTTGTTAATACTGCTGTACATATTTTGATGCTCCTTCATTTGCTGTATACGTACATACATGACAGATAGATATTATGTCTTCCTTATAACTATTATGTATTATAGATATTATGTCTTCTCTTAACTATTATATGATGCCCATCACTGTTTCTTTTTACCTTTTCTATCTGGACGTCTACATATATAGAGCCTTTCTTAACCATCAGTTACAATTTGCTTATAAGATTGGTTTCCAAACATTTACTTTGAGCCTGTTTAACTTTGAAGTTCAGTTGGTACTTCTGAAGACAGCAGAACATTGACTTTTATTTCTATGCCAACCAACTTCTCTGGGCCTTGTGATTGGTGAATTCAGTCCATTTACCTTTAAGGAGATTATTGATATATGAGTATTTCTACTGCCATTTTGTATTCAGTTTTCTGTTTCTATTTAATTGTTCAGTTTTGTTTTTGTTTAAGATTTCCTTCTCTTATATTTAAATAGGAGAGCTATTTTCATTGTCTTCAAACTTCATCAATCTCTGTTTGTCTAGCAAGGCCTTCCTCATATCTCAGTGACAGTCTCTTTGGATAGGATAGTCTTAGCTGACAGTTGTTTTTTTTTTTTTTTAATAGCATACTAGTGTCATTCTATTCTCTTATTGTTTTTAGTATTTTCTCAGAGAAGGCTAATATATGCTTGAAGGCAATGCTTAATAGATAACCTGCTTATTTTCTCCTAGCCACTTTCATTGTTCTTTAAATTCTTGGTAGTTTCAAGACAATGTGTCTTGGCATAAGACTCATTACATCTAACAACAATGTGTTCTTTTAGCTTTATGTATTTAGCTCCTTCACCAGATTTGAGACTTTTTCCTCTGTCTTCAAATGAGCTCTCTGTTCTCTCCATACTTCTCTCCTTCTAGAAAACCTACTATACTTATATCACCTTCCCTAATGTACTCAGATAATTCTCTAAGAATTTCTTCTTCATTTTTTCCTTCATATTACTCTTTTTTCTTCCACTTTTGAGGTCACTGATTCAATATGCCATTCAGTCTACTTCATAATTTCTCCAGAATTTTTATCTCCTCTATTGACCTTTATAACTCCTGCAACTCTATTATTTTCTTGTTAAAATTTCAATTTTTACTTTCAGTTCATTAATTTTATTTCTCACATCACTTATTTATCTTTTTCTGAATTTTGTTGTATTTCTTTGATTAGATTTATGGAGTTCTCTTGTATTACTTTGACTATGCTTTTTGCATTTTCTTCCATTCCATTGAACTTACTTATTACGTGTTACTTTTGGCAATAAGATGTTCATTTTCTTGGAATTTCATTTTCTTGGAATTTAATTTAAAATTTGTTGGGACTTTGAATGAATGTGTATTTTACTAGAGGTGCTTTGTGTCTCTGTCTACCATACTCCTGGAAACACTCATTATCCAAGATCACTCTGTAAAGTTATTTCTCAATTTTCAGATTACCACTGTCATGTGAATTCAGGCTTCAAGTTCATGTGAGGACCAAGACTTGTCACTTACCATCTCAAAAGTAATCCTCTTATCTCATCCCAAAACCAGGTACTATGAATAACAAAAAATTAAAACAAATCTTCAAGACTTGGAGATAAATGGAATTATTAAATAACAATTTTATAACTGATTAATATATTTTGATTTTTATCCCTTTGATTTCCGCATTGGCCCAGTGGTCTCTCAGTATTTATTTAGTCTCCATATTTATAGAATTTCCTTTTTTTCTCCCTGTAGGTCTCCCCTTAGATACCTTATTGGCTAGAGAAGATATTATTTCAACCTTCTTGAGTTTGTTGATTATTGTCTTATGGCCCTATATGTGGACTGTCGTGGAAAATGATCCATGTGCACTTGAGAAAACTGTGTATTCAGTTTTTGGGTTTTTTTTGGGGGGGGGGGTTGGGAGCATTCTGTGCCCTATAAAAGTTTAGTTCCTCATTTAAGGAAAATAAATGTTGTTATTTATTTTCTCTCCTGTTAATCTTTCCATTGCTGAGAATGGGGTGTTGAAGTTTCCAACTGAATATCTATTTGTTTCAATGTTTTCAGATTTGAAAACAATTATCTGATTCACTTAGGTGCACCTTCATTTGGAATATATATATATATATATATATATATATATACACCAATGAGTTTATGTCATTCTGGTTTATTGCTTTCTTAATCATTATGAAAGCCATTCCCAGTCTAGAAGAGGATCTTTGTTACCAAGTTCTCAGGGGTTACAACCTAAATGTAAAAAAGCACATAATTAAGAATGATGTAAAAAAAATTAATTAGAGGGACGGCAAGATGGTGGTAGAGTAAAGATGCCAAGATCACTGCTTCCAGGTTCACACAGTGATACTTAAAAACTATGAGTTTCAGTCCAAATGAGAACACCCTGGAAGGTAGATAGGAAGATAACTAAGGAAGAATCAGCAATTGGGGCGTTCGGATTAAAGAACTCTCCCCTGGGAGAACTCAGGTGCCTGGAGTTTGGTGGGCTGCAGGAGCAGCTTTGCTCCTCCCTAAAGCCATGGAGGTGAAGGGAGACTGCTCAGCATGGTGAGTGGAACCCAGGCTGAGGAAAGACTGCAGATCTGATTCGGAGCACCTGGGCACTGGGCAAAGCTGCTGAAAGACCAGCTTGACCACCTCGGGAATGGGCAAGATGGTGGCAGAGTAAAGATGCTGAGATGACTATGTCCAAGCTCACACAGGATTATATAAAAACGGACTATAGACTCACATGCTACGAGTTTCACCCCAAATGAGAACACACTGAACACACTGGAAGGAAGATAACTGAGGGAAAATTGGCGACTGGGGAGTTCCCATAAGGGAACTCATACCCGGAAGCACCACAGACACACTGTAACTCCGATCTATAGGGGAAATGCCCAGGCTCAAGCCTCCGCAGACAGAGGCTTCCTGATCATTCCTGCTCATTTGGCTCGGTGAGTAGAACCAAGGGGGTGTGGGAAGACTGCACAAATGGGCACATAGAGCCCATTTGGGTGGAGAAGAAAATCTGGTGATCTGGTGACTGGGGCAGCTACAAGGCATGCAACCATTTCACCAACCTCACAGCATAGGCCTGGAGGCTTGTTTCTGGCATTAGTCATTAAGGCAGGGGCAGCAAACTCACATGCCCCTGAGATAAAAGGGAAAAAAAAAAAAAAAAACAGAGACAGAGGGAACCCAGGGCATCAGAAGGGTACAAAGATCAACAGGCACCTTCCAGAGACAGGGCTCAATGAGTTACCAGAAGAAGCTGAACACCACAAGAGACTCCTGAGTGTCACTGGCAGAGATGACAGATATAATTCCACATAGTAGGGGCTGGAAAAACAGGAGATATTGAAATAAAACAAGGCTCAAGAATACCCTCCCCAACTGAAGTATCTGCCATCTCTGCCATCCCAGAAAGAACATCCAGAAAGAATGCTGGTCAATCATAGCAACACCATGTCTCAATGAATAGAAAGTATTAGAAAACACACGACAGGGAAAAGAAGACAAACAAATATTCAAGCAAGTCCACAGGGGAAAAATTCACCACAAAAAGATCAGTCAGCTGAAAGCACCAAAGAAATAGAAGAAATGCTCAGCTTACCAGATAGAGAATTCAGAATCACCATGATAAACAAACAAAAAGAAGATGAGGAGGGTAAAAACGCCAAGGTCACTGCGTCCAGGCTTGCATAGAAATTGAGGACTGAAAACGGACTATAGACTTACTGCAAGTTTCAACCCAAACGAAAACACCCTGGACTCACTAGAAGGTAGATAACTGAGGGGGAATCAGCAATTGGGGAGTTCCCTTCTGGGAACTCCAGGGAAAACCCAGGCACCTGGAAGTTAGGCGGGCTGCAGGAGCCACTTTGACCCACGCTAAACACTGGAGGTGAAGGGGGATGGCTCAGTTCAGTGAGTGGAGCCAAGGCTGTGGAAAGACTGCAAGTCTGACCCTCGAACACCTGGGTAAGGGAAAAACCGCTGAAATAGCAGACCCCACAGGGAGCACCTGGGCTCTGTGCAAAGCGCTGATCTGCTCAACCAGCTCGGGAACCGGCAAGATGGCGGTAGAATAAAGTTGCCAAGACAACTACATCCAAACTTGCATGGGATTATATAAAAATGGACTATAGACTTACATGCTACGACTTTCAACCCAAATGAGAACACCCTGGACTAACTAGAAGGAAGATAACTGAGGGAGAACCAGTGACTTGGGAGTTCCCATAAGGGAAGCCACACAGGCAGGATTAGCAGAACCCTGCAACTCTGATCTGGGGAACACCAGTGGCTTCCTACTCATTTGGCTCCTTTAAAAATCTTGGCACCCTGCACCAGGAAGCACTGCAGAGGGAGATTGACTGCAGCTGCAGCTCTGGCTGCTCTGCACAGCTACAGCAGCTTTTTGCTCCAGCCCTGCTACAGCCCTGGAGATAAACTGATGCAACTCAGCTAGGGAGAGGAAACCAAATTGTGGGAAAAGGCTGAAGCTCCAGTGGAACCAGAGACCCGAGGATATGCCACAGAGGTGTTGCCGTCCTTTGCCCCAGCAACCACAGAGATGTTGCTTTTTTTTGCCCCAGGAGCTGGAGAGGTGTTGCTGTCCTTTGCCCCAACATCCCCCGACAAAGGCCTGGATATAAACTGAGACAACACAACTAGGTGAGTGGATCCCAAGCTGCTGCGGGGGGCGAGGGGGGGAGGTGGGGGGGGGAACAAAAACACAAAAACAAAAAAACTGCTCTACTTAGAGCCCAGGAAGCAGAGAAGAGGAACTCTAGCCCTACCCGCATCTCCTGCCCCCACAACAGAGAACTGAGACTAGGCAACATTAGGGTTTGGTCAGGTCTTGGTGTCATTCATAAGGTGTGGTCAACAAGACTCACAAAGCCCCTGAGTTAAAGGGGAAAAAAAACAGACAGGACCCAACCACAGGCCCAACCATAGGAAAATGCAGGGATTTTAACTATCTTGCATGGGCACAACCAACATACAGAGGCCCTAGGAAGTGCCTCAAATGGGGAGACTTGCTCAGGGGTCTACCTGTTTACAACATCTACCCTAAAAAATTGTGGTAAAACCCTGGAATTAAACAGATACAGCTGGGCTGTGTGAAAAGACCTCAGCAAGTGGGGAGGCACTGTTCAGGGATGGACTATTTGGACTAAACAAAAAGAGCCCTGAAAGCTCAGAGGGAGAACTGGCAGCCTGCTCAGCTGGGAGGATTTCAGCCCTCTGGCACTCCCCTGCACTCCTGTGGGGAGGGGGAGATAAAACCCCCACAACAGAGGCCCGAAGACTTGGGAGCCAGAAAAGCTCACAGTACTTAAGAGTGTAAACAAACCCAACCACCAACTCAGCCAAAGGTCCAGCTCCAGGGAGACCTA